ATAATCTTATTCCTAACACTAATCATAATTATATCCTTATCCTAATCTTAATTATAATCATAATCTTAATCCTAATACTAATCATAATCCTAATACTAATACTAATAGTAGTACTAATCATAATATTAATACAATCCTATACTAATATTAATCATAATCATAATCCTAATCCTAATACTAATACTAATTCTAATTTTATATTAATCATAATTATAATTTGAATCGGAGTCCTAATATTAATACTAATACAAAAACATATATTCAATATATTAGAAATTAATATTTAATTATGTTATCAAATTGACATTAATATTTTTTTTTCAATATTATCAGTGTATAAGCAAATATTAACACATAGAAAGAACAATAATCTTGGATAAATTGCAAAAATCACCCTAAACTTAGGCTAATTTACGAAAAGCCCCCACATGTCGGTAATTACAGAGATCACCCTAATGTTTGTTTATGCCTTACATGATCTCCTTATGGTGTGATTTTTATGGAATCTTTTTTATTCCATGTAATATCCTAGAAAATGTGGATTCTACCCCTGCAACGTGACATTTCTTTTTATCCTATTGTTTAAATAAAAAAATTACCCACATGTAGGGGTGAGCAAGTCGAACCCATCAACCCGGTACACCCGTCAAACCCGTGAAAAACCGCCCCGTTGGGGCCGGACGGATAGATTCATCCAAAGGATTGGGTCCTAAAATGGTGAAGAACCGTGAGTTTTGGTCTTAGATGGGTTCAATTTTTTTTAATACCCGTGAAACCCGTCCCGCCCCGCCATACAAAACGACGTTGTTTTGCTTACATTTTATAGTATAATAAATTAATAGTATTAATGAATAAATAAAGTATCTCTAGTGTATCAAATACATAAATCAACTAAACTATAATTGTGGAAGTAATAGCTTTAAAGATTAGGCTTTTGAGATCCTACACCGGGTGAAATACACCGGGTAGATCTCTACCATTCATATACACACAAACACACACACACACACCCACATTGGTATGTGTAGATCAACGGTAAAAAATCACCTGGTGTAACCTTCACCGGGTGTAGGATAGATAAAACCTAAAAATTATGAAAATCCCTAAGAAAATGTTGGAAAAACGATATATACAACGGTCAACACACGGCAGAAAAAAAAAGGAAGAAAATGGTGTTGAATGGAGCTGAATAGCGTTGGTTATGCTTGAAAAGGCTGTATTTATTTTATTAAATTTTATCTTTTAAGTTATGAATTAGTTACTTTTAGTTTTATAGTATTTTTTTATTTTCTCTTGACATTTACATTATTTATGTTTGGTTTGAATTTAAGATTTTAGGTTATTCATTTTAGTTTCTAATTATTCTCTCAAAAAACTTATAAATTATATATATAAAAAAAATAGTTTAGACGATAACGGGTTTCGACCCCTGAAGGTTGGGTCCTACTACAAACCCACCATGGACCCATCTATCGTAAACCCGTTAAAAACCCACAAGTTTGGTTCTTCAAAATTAAGAACCGTTGTTTGACGGGACGAGGGCGGGTTTTGATAGAACCCGCGGGTTTATGTCCCGCGCACACCCCTACCCACATGGGAGGTAATGGTAATACTAAAAAATTGTGAATGTGTTATTTAAGAAGAATAAATATTTCGTGTAAAGTCCCCGAAAAGATAAATATCAAAATTAAATATTAAATATCAAATAAATATTTGCAAACTCATTTTGATACTTTTGGGGATGAAATTGCTCTAAATATGTACCTAATAATATATATCGGTGTTATAGTGGAATATAGTATATAGTACATACGATCATTATATATCTTAAACATACCAATTGATATTTTTAATCTTTGGTATTAAATAAAGCGAATAAACTAATTTAATACCAAAAATTTAGAATAACATTGTTATGTTTTGAAATATATAAAATAGGTTTGTTTATTTGTTATCAGTTGATTAAACTTAACTTTTATTATTCAATTTATTAGTATTATGAGAAGTTTTTTTTTAATTAGTATATAATTAGAAGTGTCAAAACAGTTATAAATTATTACTTTTATTATTCAATTTATTAGTATTGTGAGAAGTTTTTTTTTAATTAGTATATAATTAGAAGTGTCAAATCAGTTATAAAAGTTTTTGTCAGTGCATCAATGAATAGAATAGAAAAATTAAAACATTAACATGAAATTCATTTTCAATATGGTAAAAAAATTGGTAGTTTATTGTACACACCGCGGGAGAAAAAGACAGTGTGGATTACCTCAATATAGTAAATTCAAACATGTATTTTTTTTATATACATATAATACTAATATATAATAAATTAGGAAAAAAGAAAAGACATATTCTTTCATCATGGTCATATATATAAAATATATAAAACCAAATTATTTAACCTACAATATTTTTTAAAATCCATATCCAACTTTATGAATTAACATACAAAATTTCTGTTACAACAAAGTCATGCAATTATAATGACTGCCATTTAAAATTTTAAAATAAATAGACAACGACCATATAAGAAATGTGAATTTAAATTTCACGAATCACAACAGTAATAATGGACACAAATCATGTCATGCAATTCACATAACATTGTTTATATTAATTGTAGATAATTAAATAAGTGTTTTATATATATATATATATATATATATATATATATATATATATATATATATATATATATATATATATATATATATATATATATATATATATATATATATATATATATATATATATATATATATATATATATATATATATATATATATATATATATATATATATGCAAGTAAACATAAATTTAAGGATTACACTTATATATTCAAATGACGAAAATGACATATTAAAACATCGTTCACTAAAATAAAGTGAAATAAAATAATTCAAAATTAACACAGAATGTTACTATTTATAAATACAAAAGGATACACAAAAATTAAAAACATGTTATGAATCAAATGTGAATGAATGTAAAAACTGAAATTGGAAAAAAATAAGTAAAACAAATTACGATAATCATTAAAAAAAAATTCAAGCAATAGAACAATGAAACGATATAGGTAAGAAAAAGAAAAGAAGCACTCACTCATACATTTATTTTGAATAAAATAGAATAATGTGATGATTGATGGTATTGTACAGTTTATTTATATAGTCCTGTTTGCACGATGAAAAAAGAAACTACAAATTGAATATGGTAATGCTATCAATAACATTAAAAGAAATATATATGGACACATTTTTTAATTTGAAATTATTGGAAAATAATTAAAAATCCGGTGAAAAAAAAAAGAGAGGAATAAAATGGAACAAAAAATCCGGAAAATAATATGGTAAATAAAAGTCAATAAAGTCTATTATGAGAAATGGACATATGACTTCCTTATTGGTAAGATTTGATGATCATTTTTATAATTAATGAGAGATGGATTAATGGTAATACTACCTAATTATGTAAATGACGTGGAATGTAAATAATAGAAATTGATGACATGTTTTTTATATTTATTTCCACCAATCAAATTGACACATAGGATGAAATTGGGGACATGTCACATAATGAAATTGACAAATGTCAATCAATTAGGCATGCAATTCAACTTTTATATATTATATAGATGTGTCTAAACTAAGTTTTGAATTATACAATAGAGATTAATTAAGTCTCCAAAAAAAAATAACATTTGTTTGGATAAGAGCCAATAAGAAGGGCCAAATGCATCCAATTCATATGTAGATTGCCAGATTGGACAATATCTACGTACAATATAATTGTGGATAAATTGGATAAGGCAAAAACATGCCAGAAGATTGTCAACGTGTACAACTACTTGAACAAGAGTGAGGGGTAAAAAACCAAAATGTATGAACAAAGGATGCCAAATTGCTAAATGTCAGAAAATCTAGGGAGATGTATATTCATGCACAACTTGTCCCCTTAACACTCTCCCTCATGAGATATTTTGTGACATTTTAGAACTTTTCCCCAAAAAACAATTTAATTTAGTATTATATCGTTTAATGTAATCTTTAAAATAAAATTTGAAGCATATTAAAAGATTACAGTAAATAGATATGACTTAGATATGTAGGTATACAACTCAATAAGAATTTATGGACAAGAACTCAAAAGTTGACGTATAAAAGTAACCCATGTTTATTATTTATAATTAAATTAGTAGACTTTAAATGGGATTTGAGATCCTAATGGGCTTTTGCCACTTTACTAATGGGATTGGTTCATCAACTTAATTATTTGCAGACGAGCTGTGTTTCGTGACTTCTTTAATGACCCAATGTAAAAATAATTAGTGGACATATTGGACGGTCCAAATAGTTATATTATCAATATTTATTATATACAGCATATTATAAGTGAATAAAAAATTCGAATTTTCCAATTCAGTCAATTTCGCTAAAAAAAATATTCTGAAATTTTATTATTTTTCATTTCAATTGTTGATGTAGTTTACATTTCATATTATGAGTTCTATATAATGTTTTGAAAATTATTCAATTTTCTTTTCTCTTTCTAGAGACAACTCCAAAGCCACAAATGAAAGAAATCATATCATGTATCCACGTGTCCAAGTTCTGTCCATGAAACTCAAAATATCTTCTTCTTGCGGGTCCCACGTCACAAGTTGTGTGGCGCCTTATATAAATATCTTTGATTTAATATTAAATATTTTTTTCTAATTGGGGTGTGAGTTCAATATTGTCCACTGGATTTAAGTCTTTGCTATTTTAAAATTAAATCTCCACCACCAAAACCTAATTTTTTTGAATATGAAAAAGGTGTAATCCAATGGCTGTCTGCTTTTTGATTCAGAGAACGTGCCCAATTTGGGCCACTCACAACACTTCTTTAGATATTTTATGTCACTTTCCATCTTTTACATCCCTCAATAGTTAAGATATTACCACTCCACCCCACAAAAAAGTAATACTACATAAATCCCCCAAAAAAGATTGCATATTTGATATTACTAAGAATTTTGCTATAAAAATTTAGTTTCATTAAAAATTTAAATACATCACAAATTTTATTATAGGTATTATATTAATATTGCTTATTAATTAGTTCAAAAATTGTAGCAGCAAACTTTAGGGTTGAATGTGTAATTTTAAGAAGTTTAGGGAGCAAAGTGAAATGGGGCAAAATATTTCAATGGTGGAAATTAATACTAGAAAGGCAAAATGTGGCAATGAATATGAGCCATCAGATGTGAGTCAGTTAACGATCAACCAGTAAAGAAGGCCACGATAGGATGATCGATATACACTACATGGGGTCTCCATTTTCAGATATTTTGGATTGAAAAAAAAAAAACAAATCAAAAGCAGAGGCGAAAGCTTTTTCTGGAAGAAAAAGAAAGAACTTGTCGACTGAATTTCTAGAAATTTCAACCGCTGCAGTGATTATTGTGTATGCTCCTTCGCTGAAAACAGACGAGATCTTCAGAGAAAAAAAATGGGAGAAGTTGCGGTGAGCAGTGGAGGTGGAATGGAATTGGAGGTGGTAGGAGAAGCTGCGGCGGCGGCGGCGGCGGATACTTCTTCTACGGTGAGGTGGGAGAGGTTTCTTCCGAAAATGGCGGTGAGAGTGTTGTTAGTTGAAGCTGATGATTCCACTAGGCAGATTATCACCGCTCTTCTCAGAAAATGCAGCTACAGAGGTTGGTTGGTTTTCCAGTTCGATTAATTTGTTGGGGATTTATGTAAATTTTTTTAATTTTGGATTTGTAAAAGTTTAGGGTTTCAAATCTTCGATTTTAGGGATTTTGAGTGTTAATATATATATATATGCGTTGATCAGCTGAATTTTAGCGCTGAACATCAATTGCACTATTAGTTGAAAACTAATGCAGGATGTGTTTCTACATTCATGATTTTATTTTATTTTATTTTGTTTTTATTAATATCGTGTATGAATATTGTTGTTGTCGAAGTTCGGAATGTTAACTATATCTTAATTTGAATCAGTTGCTGCTGTTTCTGATGGCTTGAAAGCATGGGAGTTACTGAAAGGAAGACCACATAACATAGACCTTATCTTGACCGAAGTCGAGCTGCCGTCGATTTCTGGATACGCACTTCTCACTTTAATTATGGAGCACCAAGTCTGCAAAAACATTCCAGTTATAAGTATGATTTGAATCATTTTTTATTTTAATTTTTGTTTCCTTTTTCGTTCACGAAGTTTGCATTCCGATTACATTCGATGTGAAACAATTTCTAAACATCATTTTTTTTTCATTTGTAAATAATAGTGATGTCATCAAACGACTCGGTTAGCACAGTTTACAAATGCATGCTGAGAGGCGCAACCGATTTCCTTGTCAAGCCCGTCCGAAAAAATGAGCTCAGGAACTTGTGGCAGCATGTCTGGAGAAAACAAGCTGTAAGCTACTTTTCTGCATTATAATTTTCTTGTTTTATTTTAATCTTAAAATAATATTGACTTATTTTCGATCGCTGTGATATCAGTCGAACACTGCTGCTGGACCTGGACCTCCAGAAGAGAGTGTACCTCAACAGAAGGATGAAGCCACCGCCGAGAACAATGCTATTAGTAACCAATCAAGTGGTTACATGTCACAAATTCCTAGAGAGAGAGAGTGCATCGAGAAAGGAAGCGATGATCAGGTACTTCCACAAAATCCCGTTTAATGTTTTGTGGGTGAAATTAAACCTAGCTTCATGAAGACTCATATAAAGTTTTCACTTTTAACTGCAGAGCTCGTGCACAAAACCAGAGATGGAGACTGAAGGAGACGATAACGAGAATACGTGTCGCAAAAGCAGCGGGTATCTCTCGGACGACGTTAAAATTCTTACACGAGAAGAATGTAATATAAAAAGTAGAAAACGACGAGGGGATGATAATGAGACTAGAGGTAATATGATCTCATATCATCTATGTTTTTCTTGTGTACTTCAACCTCCACGAGTGGCAAAATGCTTACAGCTTTTTCATATTTGTCGTTTGGAAAACAGAATTGCTAACTGATTACGCAATAACACGAGAAGACAATGGTTTGGGACAAGTTAATGGCAACGGTCGAAATTTTGAAAATGATCATGACCTTGAGAATTCTTCAAGAGAGGCCATTGACTTAATTGGAGCTTTTGATAATCACCTCAAAGGCAATTTCGGAAGCTCCGCCTCGAACTTTACGACAAACAAGTTTGACAATTTACCTTTGTTGGACCTAACTTTGAGAAGATCCCATCCCTTTGATAAAAGGCCCAAGTTAAACCACTCCGATGTATCAGCCTTCTCTCGGTGAGTTAATTGATTCTCACTTTGAAATTCTTTTTTAGGCCCGAAAATGTTTCAAATTTGTATTCTCAAATTTATTAATTCTTTTTATTATGGTCGAAGACTTGACAAAGCTGTAGTCTGATTTAAATAAAATAACGGTTATGCAGGTACATACACAAGCCATCGGAGCTCTATCTATCTTCGTCCATCTGTAACAAACAAAAAGACAATGAAACCAATTCCGAAAAACATGTATCGAATATCAACCCTGATTGTAATTCCGATACACGTGATCCCGCAATAATAATCACTCAGAAAAATGTTTCTATGCCGACAATTCAAACAGGACAGCCTGAAATTACATTGTCTCACTCTCAAAACAGAGAAATATCTCATCCAATTCCAGTTAGAGGTGTAAGATATGATGAAGATTCGAATAATGCCGCTGGTTCATTGATGCCTTCGTCACGTCGTGCGCAATCAAGTACACCCCACCATTCAGAATCTTCTCCACAATTGAATGTCGGTAATTCCATTGATCAGACAGACGATAAACAGTTAAAGAAATTGGAAAACATATCGGATCGGGAGCAAGTTTCGCCTGGAAATGACCAGAGTGGCAATAGCAGTTACTGTAATAACAATACAAGTTATCATCAGAATTCAGTTTCTGAAGGCAATGGCAATGAAATTTCCCGTTCAGTAATAAAGTCCACCCCATCAGAATTTTGTAACGAAGAAAGCTACCATGGTCACGATGGGGCCTCTCATCGAGCCATGCTAAGAGAAGCCGCCTTAACAAAATTCAGAATGAAAAGAAAGGATAGATGCTTCGAAAAGAAGGTAAATTTAATTCTATCGAAACCGTATAACAGTAAAAAGTGAATATTCTATATTTTTTTCCAATACAAGTTTTCTTAATTGATATTGGTTTTTGCAACAGGTGAGATACGAAAGCAGAAAAAAACTGGCCGAGCAGCGTCCACGTGTCAAAGGACAGTTTGTTCGTCAAATGCCTAACGAATTTCAAACCGGAAACTCATTAGCTAGTTAGCTACAACTCCAAATCCACCGGAGAATATTTGACAAATTCTCTATCCTCTTTATTTTTTTTAGACTGATCATCGGTTAAGAGTTTTGGGTCCCCTGTATTCTTTAACTTCATATAACTAATAGAGAATAGAGGTACATGTTAGTTAAATGATTCCAATATGTATTCTTTCGTTTTTAAGCCGGCTTGTTTTAGGGTTCTGTAAATGTAGGCAGGGAGGCCTTGCTATAGAAGTGTGTAGTTTGTAACTCATACATAAGTAAAGTTGCTGCTGCTTGTCAATATTTTTTATATTTGATGTAATCAAATCAAGTTTCTTTATTTCTATCTTTATTTAGTTTTCCACAGAGAGAGAGAGAGAGAGAGAGAGAGAGAGAGAGAGAGAGAGAGAGAGAGAGAGAGAGAGAGAGAGAGAGAGAGAGAGAGAGAGAGAGAGAGAGAGAGAGAGTAGAATTGAGACCACAAGTTTGGATGCAGTAGGCATGCAAAGGCAAATGCAAGCAGCCAAACAATGGAAGCAAAAAGTGAAGAAAGCCTCTTATCTAATTAATGATCACCCATTATTATTTGTTATCACACAATCCTTTTCAATGGTGCCACCTTCCAATATCTCAATAATTTTCTTTATTTTTATTTATTTATTTATTTTTTATTTTATTTTTCCTTCATCAACACTCAACAATGATATAGCATCACCACCTGCAAATTCAATCCACATACACACAGTACACACTCATGTAGGTGTATTTTGATGCACAGTTAAAACTGCACCACTAAACAAGCCCATAATTCTGTGTCAAGAAATTCACCATAAATAAAGCCAAAAAATCTTTTATTAAAACATTGGAGTAACGTTTTAAACACTAGTTAGTCGAAAGTGGAAAATCGAAAGAGGCAAGTTGTTTACGAGATGAAAAATCTCTCACAATAATGGTGTTGTGTAGGGTAGACTTGCTTTGTTTGTGTTGATTAAAGGGCTCATTAACTTAAAAGTTCAAAAAGTTTTTTCAATAATACTAATACATTTCAAACTTAAATGGAAATATTCCTAAACAAGATTCCCAAAAACAACTGGTGGCCCCCAATCAAAACTTTGTCTTCCCCAAGAAATACTTGAACAACTTATAAATATAGTCTAACAAAGAATAATATATACATATACATATACAAACACAAAGTTCCAAAATGACTGAAGATAGTCTCTTGTGGCTTGAACCTCAACTAATGTTCACCTAAACCCTAAAAAAAAAAAAAAAAAAAAAAAAGAAAAATCCTTTCTTTCCTTAAGCCAAAAGTAATGGGACATATTTTTCACCTCTCATAAGAAGAAGATTAAAAAAAGTCAATTTTGAAAGATTCTTCATGTCTAACTTTAATTCCACATTTTTTTTAATTAATTTTTTTTTTGTGAGTTAATCATTGCAAATTGCAGATAGTGAAAGAAGGCAAAGTTTCAATAGTAATCCCATTTAAGAGAGTTGCATACTTTGTCACTCAACTCTAATATAATGGAAGATGTGAAAGCCTATATTACCACTCTGAAAAGTTGTCAACTTTTTCTTCTCAATAATTCTTAAAGCAACCCCCAGAGAATCTATTATCTCTTAATTCCATAAATAAATAAATAATCTCCCAAGATATACTTTGTATAAGTATATTCATGAATCATTGTATGTATAGCATCATATCTTCATAACTAACTCATAACTAACTCTTGTTTTTACTATGGTTGAGTGTAAGTATTTAATATTAACCTTGGTCTTCCCACTTAACAGTCAGAACCCAGAAAACTAGTAACTAACTAACAGTCTCCTATTCAAAATACGTGTTGGTTATTTTTAAAAAGATCAGATTTTTATTTTTGTATTAAATTTGTTTCCATGAACCCTATATTAACCCCCATCATTTCAACTTCTCCCTATACCAAACTTCTCTCTCTCTCTCTCTGAAAAAATGTCTAAAATAACTGAAAAATCTCCCAAACACTGCGCTAACAAGCAAGCAGTAAACCTCCACAAGTTCAGCAAGAAGATCTACATCTACTTGACAACACTAATCCTCTCAATCCTCTCCCTCATATTCCTTGTTTGGCTAATCCTCCATCCAACAAAACCGAACTTCTCTCTCACACAAGCAGATATCAACCAGCTAAACCTCTCGGGCCAATCCCTTCTCAACTCCTCAATCCAGCTCACTCTCCAATCCAACAATCCAAACAAGAAAGTCTCGATTTACTACGACGAGTTCTTGATCTACGCATCTTACAAGGGCCAAAAAATCACCCCCGAAACTGCAATCCCTGCTTTCTATCAGGACCATGAAGAAACAAACACTCTTAGCGCATCGTTGGTTGGTAAAGAACAGCCTGTGGGACCGTCTTTTGCCGACGGAGTTCAACGAGATCAACGGACGGGAAAATTGGCCTTGAGTTTTAAGGTTATGGGGAAGCTGAGGTGGAAAGTAGGGACTTGGGTTTCCGGGAGGTACAGATTCGTAGTAAATTGTATGACGGTTATGCCCTTTGGGCCTATACCTTCGCCACCGTTGAGTTCGACACAAGGTTCACATTGTTCTACTACTATCTAAACAAGTATATAATTCACGATGCCTTCGGCATACGATGCATAAGAGAGAATAAGCCGGTTTTTGTGCCGTTTGTGTATTGAGTGCCTATTACAGTTGGTTTAAAAGGTTATGGTAAATAGCAATGCATATATATATGTATACAGATATATTCTTATAGAAGTGAGAAGTTTGTACTAGAAATAGTAGTTTTTTTTTTTTTTTTTGGTTACTAATATTTTATGTTGGATTTTTACCATGGTCCATGTAAGAACAAAAACAGTGTTTCTTCTCTCAGTTTAAGGAAAAAAATTGTAAAAGAATGGAAAAGAAGCTGCTTAACTTTTCAGAGTTTGAAAAAGATTCATTTCTCTTCTATTATTTCTACCTAATTTGTCCCTACAAACAACATATCAAACAAAGCACAAGAGTAACCAAAAGTTTTCTGCTAGTCTTTTGAGAGAATAGGAATGCTCTAATTCATTTTATTGACCAAAAACAATCGACGACGTTCAAGATACGTCTAGAGTGGATAATCTATCCTGTTTTACGAACGATGTTTCGTGTGGGGTTTGTCTTAAACACCCTGGTAATTGTTGTCATAACCATAGCTAATGTTTTCTGTTATTGTTCTCCAAAATCTCATAAATCATTAAATTACAGCTCGAACTTCTGCTGTTGTCCTCCAAAATCTCATAAATCATTGGTTTTACAGTTTTTTATGCATCCAAGATTTACGGAATTTCTCGTACAGTCGACTGTAATACCCACAAGTTTCGAATATAATCAAGTAACCAAGGATATCAACATGTGTAAAAGCTCAAAACTCGTAAAAAAGATTATAAAAGCGAAGCAGTTCTATTATCCTTATATTATTTGGAACTCAAGAACCAGTCACATAATCGAACATTGCTCAATGATTAACGAAACGAATTCGAGTATTCATCCTCCAATCATCCTTGAATTCAGTTACATTGCCATATTCCAAACAATCAAAATTTCAATCTTCGTAATAACATATATAGAACTGTCACGAACAACAATACTGTTAACAAATAGCACTATCTATAATTCTCTGTCCAAACTCAATCTGTAACGAGAAGCTGAAAAACTCACCTGTTATTTTACAGAAAAAGAAAAAATTCTCAAATCGAATCGGGATCGACCCACTTCCAATAATGTTTCCTACACGAAACCGCACGATCGGCCACATCTCTCTCGTTCAAACTCCCATCATACTCATCCAATTCCTCAGTACAGAATTCCCCTTCAGGCAAACCCTCCACGTCAGCATCCACCGTGTGCAATACATAACAAGCTGGCAATCCAGGGTACGATGCAGAAACTCTCTCCTCCACCTTCTTCACGTACGATCCAGGCAAGATTTTTACCCTTCCGTTAATTCCACTAACACCGTCACTTTGACTAACGGTTTCGAGAGACTCAGTTTTTGTTACCAACGAACCTAATTCCTCTTTCACGGCGCGGTGAACGGCGGCGTCAACTGATTCGCCGGGTTTCATTTTTTCAGACAGAGGGCGGCCGCGGTGCCTGACGGCGCCGTTCGATAGCTCCTGGTGCGATTCTATGAGGATCTTTCCGTCATTACGGATGACTCTCACAATCACAACCTCGACCGTACGAACCGGAGGGATTGAATCGGCGAGAAAGGTCTCACCTTCCGCGATCTCGAGCCATAAATTGTGGATATTTTTGGTGCCAGGCTTCACCCCCCAGGAGCCGAATGAATCGGCGGCGAGCCGCGGCTTGAGCCAATCGGAGAGGGATTGCGGCGTGGCGAAGGGAGGCTGGAGGCGGCCGGAGTTTCTAGGGTTTGGAGAGGTTTGAAAGGGATTGGACATTTTAGGGAATTTACGGAGGTTTGAGGGTAAAGAGAGTTTGTTGTTGTTGCTGTTGGGAAGGAATATGAGGGAATTGGGTTTGGGAGAAGTGGAGAAGAGGACGAGAAAGGAGACGGCGGTGAAGATTACGTCGGGTAGTGACGTGGCTTTCTTCAGGAGGAGGTGGTGGTGCGGCGGCGGAAGTGGTGCTTGCGGTGGTGGAGGCGGCGGCATGTCAGGTTGGGGTGATTGTGCACGAGCTGTGAGTTGGTGGTGATTTGGGATGCATATTATCTGATTCTTTGATTTTGAGAAATTTAATTTGGGTGAATTGGAAAATAAGAGGATGGAATTGAAGGTTTAATTAGGATCAGATATTTAGCATTTTTCTGACTTTTTGTTGTTTATTATTCCAATTAAATATGTTGAAAAGATATATAGTCAAATATATATAACAAAAAAAAAAAAAAAATTACATGACACAATCTTCTCCAAACAAATAAATCATTCGCTCTGATCTCGATGGATCATAATTTGCAGACCTAAATTCATCTCCACCAAAAAGCTTAGCTCTGCAAACAGGGCAAGTTCCCCTGCCTTGATCAATCCAACTATCAGTGCACTCCACGTGAAAAACGTGTTCCCAAGTTCTCGTACGTTCTCCCGTTTTTCCACCATACTTCTTCTCCTTTGTTGTGTTGCATCATTGTTTTTGATGGATTTGTTCGACAAATGAACCGGTAACCGTACTAACTAAGGAGATGGTTGAAATGTCAACTCATCAGCATATGAATTGCACTTTCGATGAAAGCTAATAAATTGGCTAACGACATAGTAATCTCAAAGGGCTTTTATTGGAATGGTGTATAATGAAAGAAATCCCATTTCAAGAAAATTGAGTTTCTTCATGTTGTATAAGATATCCGATGTTTCTTCTACGGATGTAAACAAGAGACCAAGTCAGGCATTTCGGTTAAGAATCAAGTCAACAATTACCGACTCCCATTATCTAGTGATTAACAACCAAATACCGTCTTAAAATGATAATGTGACTGAATTTTAGGCTTTGGTGCACATATTTTAAATGAATGTTATTGACGAAGAAGACGGTCCAGTGAGATATAGTACATCAACAATTAAGTGATTGTACGATCAATTAATAACGTCTAGTTGACAAAAGACAATGCAAACTTCATACCACAGGCAGAGCAGCTTTGTGAACGGAGATTTATCGAGAATAAGCAACTTGCAATAACAGATATATCAGATTAACTACATGCAATACCAATTCGCCAGATGAGAGAAAAATCAACCACAAATGAAAAACAGCAAGATAGAGATAATCAAATTGAAGGGCAAAAGTCTGAAATCAAAATTATACTTGATAGATTAAAAAAAACACAACCCCTAAAAAACGAGCTAGTTATCATCTCAAACGAGTCTATGAAACCAATCCGCAATTATAATTAAAACAAGTGCATGATTATATAAAAAAGACGACCTAATCAAACAAACTGAAACCCATATCGTCATCACTCTCCTCCTTGGCCTCCTCCTGCAAAAGTTCAATAAACAAAACCGACAATGTTAACTCACTCCAATTGTCAATGTCGATAAACATATTTCAAATCTATATTACATTATCACATTCCAGTCAAACATAAAGAAGAACTGCAATAGATATCCTCCCTCTGAAACAGAATGCGGAAACAACAAAAATCTCTTGCAATCGATTGTAAAATTATGAGATCAGAGCAATATAATAACTGATATTTTAATTCCTAAACAGTAGAACAAAAGATTGCAAGCGTCAATATGAATTTAAAAATATATAAGGGGATCGGAAAAACTGTACCTTCTTCTCCTCGGCGGCGGGGGCGGCTGCGGCGGCAGCAGCAGAAGCGCCTCCGGTAGGAGCAGCGACTGCGACGGCGGCACCACCACCACCAGATCCAACATTCATGACGAGATCCTCGATGTTCCTCTTCTCACAGAGCTTGGCGAAGAGACTCGGCCAGTACGACTCTACGGTCAAATTCGCCGCCTTTAGCAGTGCAGCAATTTTCTCCGCCTAAACAAAAGAAAAATAAAACAAAATTAACTCGAATTCAATACAAGATCTACACATGTAAAAATATATATCCAGTAGAGAGAGAAAGAGGAGTTACCGTGACGGCGATGCCATCGTCGTGAAGAATCAAAGCAGCATAGGTGCAGGCAATCTCTCCGACCGACATCTTTTTTCTTCCACAGAGAATTGAGAGTTTGGGAATTAGGGTTCTTTCTATCGGCTGCTGGTATTTTAGGGTTTGGGGGTGGTATCCTTATTTATATAGTTGGAAACGCAAATTGTTAGCTGCCCTTGAACTTTAAGGTATCTTCAGAACGCCGCCATAAAGTATTGAAATTATCACAATAACCCCCTTATTTTAGTGTAATAGTAGTATTAAGTCCAGTTTCGTCCCTGATCTTTTACCCTATGTTCAATTTAGTCTTCATATTTTCAATTGACTCAATTTCTTCCTACAACCATTTTTCTCCCAATGAATTCATATTTTTTATTTCATAAAATAGCAAAATAATCCAATCTTATTATTTGTTTTATTTTTTTCTCTAGTTACTAGTTATATTTGCTTGGACAAAAACATTGTAAAAATGAACTACGATCTGCAGAAGGAGATGATGTCGACGTGGTTTTTAAGGTCTGTGACGTAGCTACCAACGGCGATGCTGTCGCTGGCAGAGTCAGGTTGGGGTGATTGTGCACGAGCTGTGAGATGATGGTGATTTGGGATTCATTATATGATTCTTGATTTGAGAAATTAAATTTTTTATTAGAAAATACGATAAAATTGAAGATTTAATTAGACTCAGATATCAAAAAGTTTCAGAACTTTTTTGTTGTCTATTCCAATATTGTAAATTTGAACATCGATGGTGAAGTTCAGTGCATATTACATATTTCATTATCCTACAACCAAATTAAGTAATGACATAACATATTTCACACTAGTGTGAAATTTATTCCGAGCAAGCCTTCATTCGTGGAAATTTCTCAGAAAGACAAATTCAAACCGTATCGAATTTTAATCGAAGAAAATTCACAATCCGGAATCACATCACATGATCATTTACCAATCTAGAATGCATTCTATATGACCAGAGATGTAATGTGAATTATCATAACAGATTAATCAGACAGATTCAGTACCTTTCAAAATCAATTTGCCAGATGAGAAGCAAGAAAGGCAAGAATATTTAACAACAAAAAATAATCAAATCAAAAGGCAAGAGCCTAATTTCAAAATTATACTTCAGAAAATCAAAAATAATCCTTCATAAAGTAAAAAAGAACAAAACCCCTACAATGAGCTAGTTATCTCAAACGAGTCTTGGAAACCAATTCTGCAATCATTAAAACAAATACAAGAAAAATGAAAAAAGGACCATCTAATCGAATAAACTGAAACCCATGTCATCGTCACTTTCCTCCTTCGCCTCCTCCTGCAAAAGTTCAATAAACAAAACGAACATTGTTAACTATCTCAATCATCAACGTCCAGAGATATAAGTACACATATTTTTTACATTAATTTTCCCTCGGAGAATAAAAAAGGTTTCCATAAATAAGATAACAGGCAGACTATCAATCAAGTCTTACTTCAACTACAAATAATTTCAATGTTCCGTCGTATTCCGTCTACAAAGTAGGTTAGGTTATCGTGATTCATTTATCTATCTACATTCAATTATCTGTAATGAGAAAGTGCAATAGATGTTCTCCCTCTGAAACAGAATGCAGATCAGCAAAAATACCATGTGAATGATTGTAAAAGTTATGTGTGTTTTTTCATTAATAAGATCAAAGCAATATGTTAAGTAATGTTTTAATTTCTAAAACCGCAAACGAAAATTGCAAGCGTCAATAAGAGATTTAAGGTAGATAAGGGGGGTCAAAAAAATTGTACCTTCTTCTCCTCGGCGACGGGGGCAGCAGCGGCGGCAGCACCACCAGCAGCGCCTCCGGTAGGAGCAGCGACTGCGACGGCAGCACCACCACCACCAGATCCAACGTTCATGACGAGATCCTCGATGTTCCTCTTCTCACAAAGCTTGGCGAAGAGACTCGGCCAGTACGATTCTACGGTCAAATTCGCCGCCTTTAGCAGTGCTGCTATTTTCTCAGCCTACACAATAGAAAAATAATTAAGAAATTGAACTCGAAATTCAATACAAGATCTACAAATGGAATAATTAAATCGAGTAGAGAGAGAGAGAAAGAGTTTTTACAGTGACGGCGATGCCATCGTCGTGAAGAATCAAAGCAGCATAGGTGCAAGCAATCTCTCCGACCGACATCTTTTTTCTTCCACAGAGAAACGAAATGGAAATCGAGAGTTGGGAAATTAGGGTTCTTTCTATCGGCTGCTGGTATTCTAGGGTTTGAGGGTGGGTTTTATCCTTATTTATATTGTTGGAAACATGAAATTGTATGATGCCCTTAAACTTTTCGGTATCTGCAGAACGCCCCCTGAAGTGTTTATATTATCATGATAACCCCTAGCTTTAACATAATAGTAGGGTTAAGTTCATTTTCATCACCAATCTTTTACCCTATCTTCAAATTAGTCCTCATATTTTCAATTGACTCAATTTCATCTTCCATTCATTTTTCTGGCAATAAAGTCAGATTAAAGAAAATGCTATGACCGGAAATGCTCTTAAATTATATATTTTTATTAAATCAATAACATAATCATCCTATTTTTATTTTATTTTTTGTAGTTACAATACTTATATTTGCTCTTGGGCAATTTGTCCTATATTTTTATTTCACAAGAATTTGTACAATAGTTACTTCATATCACTTGCTACTTGTTAGATTAGACTAACACCTCTCGGAATTTGATATGTACATCAAGTATATCTAACACCTCTCGGAGTTTATGCCGTCAATAAAAGTAATGGTTGTAAATTATAATTTCGTGAAGAAAATCGTATCTTACTCCCACAATGGTTGTTCAACTTCATCAACGTAAAAACGAAAGCGTTTTGAAAGTGTCGAAAATATTACATGGCCATTCACCTGAAACTTGAAAATGGTACCAGCTGAGTGTTTGCTTGGACAACAACATTGTATAAAATAACTGCAAATCTCTGCAATTTTACAACTTTTCCTCAACTGATTTTTTCCTAGGCAGTTCCAGAAGCACTATACATGACATGAAAATTTGAACACAAAAATTGCAATTAAGCCCCAATAAATATATAAAATTGCGCTGGCTGTACCAGAATCAGAATATCAGCTTTTCTTGCATCACTGTAATAAGCTTCTTATTACACATTTGTAACTAAACAAAACTCAAGACTTACACTTTATGCAGTGCTATCACTACCAATCAATCTGACATTAAACAAACAAAAGACAATTGCAAGTAACATGTAGTAGAATCTCCATTTCCCGAATTTATTTTCATCCGATTCCGATTCAAGAAAGTGATAACAAATTGATCCAAGTTATAATCCTATTTCACATCATCTCAACTCTCAATAAATTACAAGAAACATAGTACTATCACCTATCACCACCACCACCACTACCTCATACTTTTAGCATCTGCATCTTGTTCCCAAACGCAATCGCAATCCAATCCGGCTGAGCTGGCGACCATTGAAGCTGATTAATCTCCGAACCAGCAGAGTACACGAGCATCGGATCGATCCCGTTCGGACCAGCAACTGTCGGCAGCTCCCAAAGCAAAGCCTGCCCGTCATCCCCTGCAGAGCAGATATGCCTACAGCTCTGTGGGGCCCACCCGATCGCATTCACACTGGCGCTGTGCCTCTCGAGTTCCGCCACCGGCATTGTTGGCGACCTGATATCGAGAATCACAATCTTGTTGCTGTCCATCAAAATGGTGGCCATGTATCTCAAATCTTGCTTGTTCCAAGCTAGCCTCAACAATGGTGTATCGGGCATCGGGCTCTCGTAGATGATTGTGGAATGTTCTTTGTCTCGTAAATCGAATATCCTCACCGAACCATCGGCTGAGACTGAGGCGAAAACTCCGGCTTCACCCCAGGCGATGTCGTACACTTCCTTATCGTGGGCGATCAGCTGCGTTTCTACGACGCCCTTTTCGATATCCCAAATTGTGCACGTGGTGTCGATGCTGGAAGTTCCGATTCGCCTCGGCTCGAGCTCGTTCCAATCGAATGAGGTTAGTGGAGCGGAGTATTCGCTGGTGTTACTG